ATAGGGAGCACGTTGCGCGCCGAGCAGCTAGTCGAACATATAAAGGTCGAAGGGGGTGCTACGCAGAACCAATGTTTTTCGTCCACGTCGGCTATGAATAGTGCAGCCAACAGTATAGGGAGCACGTTGCGCGCCGAGCAGCTAGTCGAACATATAAAGGTCGAAGGGGGTGCTACGCAGAACCAATGCGTCCAGTCGGCTATGAATAGTGCAGCCAACAGTATAGTGAGCACATTGCGCGGCGAGCAGCTAGATAAGAGAGAGAGAGAGAGAGAGAGACCTAGCCCACCCCCCGTCTCCCCCGCAACTCTTGCAGCTCTTGCATCGCCGCCCTTGCCTATGACGAAGAAAGTGAGGAAAGAGGAAAGGGAGGTGAGGGTCACCGGCTGCTGTCGGCCTGCGCCGGCGAGGTTGGGCACAACCTGGCAGGGGAGGAGGGAGAAAGAGAGAGGAAAGAGGAGAATGAGGTGCGGTGGCTGATAGGAGAGCGTCATCGGAAGGAGCCGCTGGCTCGTTGTCATCGCGCTGGGGGAGAGATGCATGTGTACATCCCTCATGCCAGCAGGTTCCTCCTTCCTTCCTTCCCGCTGCTCACCTCTAGCGCCGCCGCCCTTTCTTGCTCCATCCCCGCCCCTGCCGAGAGCCCCTCCTCTTTCCTGTCTAGTCAACCTCATTCTCTACCGCTCTCCTCGTTGGCCGTCGCTCCAGGTCGCAGAGGAGGATCTGCTGCCGAATCCACGCAGTTGAGGGTGAGGAGGACGGAGGTGAGGGAAGCAGCAGCAAGGATGGTGGCTGGCGATGGTTCAGGGGCCACCAGAGGAGGGGAAAGGGGGATGATGTCGCGCTTCTCGCCACCTCCACGTCCTTGTCTCCCGGTGGTCCGCTGCTCCTTGTCCACGCCGTTGCAACTCCAGCGACAACAGTTCGTCTCCATGATCCTTCTGCTCCTCCCGCTTCTCACCAAATTAGTCTGAACATAGCAAGGTAAAAGGCCATACATGCTCATTTTTCTTCACTATATTCTTTCTTGTTAGTCTGCTTAGTATACTCTTGTGTCTTCACCGAAAAAATTGTGGTGGCGATGCTTGATTTAAGTATCATGATTTGTTGTATGGAAATAGGGGATTTTACTTCTGATGATGTGGGTAGTGGTGGTCTTCTCTGCACTCTCGTGTTTCATAAATTTTCCCCTTGGAAACCCACCTATCTGAAATATGTGTCTTTCCAATTTGATGTTGGTTCACATGCAGGTTCAGTGAATAGTGCCATGCACGATGACTATTGTTGATCTTTGTATTGCGAGACAGTGCTTTTGAGTTTGATGAGATATGGCCATTCTCAAAAGGTAGATTTAACATATTGATAGAAAATGGCGTAAGTTTGCTCTCCCGTGACCACCCGAAGTGA